ATAGGGGTAAGTGTACCTATCTCCGTGCTCTGCCCTATTACCGTGGATTTTGAAAAACTGATGATTACTTGCTCAAAATAAGAAATGTTTCATATAAAATAATTTTTCAATTTTAATAATCTAAAATGACGTTAATGTAGATGCAATTCAAACAGAAATATTTGTGTATATTTTGAGTAAATAATTATTTTCCACGGTATTCGGTACAACGCGCTCATTAACTGATTGTGTACGTATTTCCGCGGTGAGCGTACGTAAACATAACCTTATACTTATCCGCGGTAATACGTACACGGTAATAGGTACACAACCACGGTTATACCAGCATACCGTTTTTATTCGTTTTAAAAATATTCTACTGAAGTTTTAGCTTCATAAAATTTTTTTTAATATTCCGTAAGAGATTATGTAAGATTTAAAAAAAAAAGTATTCCAAAAAATTTTAGTATACCATTTTTTATGGTGCATTTAAGTTGGAATTTTCAGTACGTGCCACGGAGATAGGTACACTTACCCCTACTCTGTACGGCGGAATGCGTCTAATTATAGGAGTATAACTTCAATAAAAACATAGATTGTGACTGTGTGAACACATCATATCGTAAGCATGTACATACATACTTGCTATTATGTGAAGCTTGACAGCTTGCATTTGTATATTTGCCACAACATAGTGTTAAACAAACAAAAATATTTATATTAAGTAAGGGGTAACTTAAAGCGATTTATATTACGTTTCCCCGAGATTACTTGTGTCACGTATCCTATGACTCAACTATCTTGGCTTGAATCATCATCCTATTATACAGCTTTAACGACATTCATGTGCCAGAAACTTGTTAGAATAAAAATAATTAGACATAGATATCTCAAAATGCTCAAAACAAGATTTCATCAGGCCCACTATTCACAAAATGTTCTCATCGTTAAGTCATAGTTGGGAGGAAGATTTTTCCTACCAGACAATGCTGCTAACAGTGTGATATTGGCTACAGATATTTTCTAAATTCGCAGCAGACAGCATGCAGCGTTACTATAAAGATGATGCCAGCTCAAAGCAAAATATAAATATGTGTAAAAATCAAGTGTCTCCAATATGATCAATATACTCTCATACCTGTGTGTCTTGATTGGAAAGACCTTTTGTATTAAAGTTAAAGACTATGATTGTATGAATTTTTTCAAAGCAATACATTTAATAGTTGATTTTACAGTGAAAATCATTTTTTATGGTTCATCTTCTTGATCAATACTAATCAAATTTTAAAGTTAATTGATTTCTTAATGAATATAAATGAGACACTGAGAAAAAAAGCGTTAAAAAATATTACAATTGTACTAAAAATTACTATATTTTTAGGAAAGCTGAGCTATACTCACCTGATGAAGCAAAATTGTTACATTTCAAATAATTTTTACTATGCAGTAGCCCTACAATAATTATTTCAGGGCACAACAAAAATTACTGTGTCTAACATAGTAAAAATTCTGATGGTACAATTTTTGCTACACAGCATAGTAAATTTTATTTTAATCGTTTTAAACTGTACCCCATTATAAAGTAGAATTTGCTATGTGACATAGTAAAATTTATCATTCCACTGCATTGCTATTCAGTATAGTAAAAATTACCATGTTCACAAGTAATTTCTTACGATGTATATAGGTATATACGC